ATAATATAATATAATATAATGAATAAGCAGAATTGCAATTGTACTATTGAATTATTATTTTTTTGCAAATGCAAAATCTGCAAATTTTGAAAACCATTTGCAACGCGGCTGGAAAAATTCCAATTGCAACTCTACTATTTTTAATTTTTTTGGAAATGGAAAATTTGCAACAGGAACTGAATAAACCCAATTGCAACTCTGCTATTTATTTATTTTTGCAAATCAAAAATTTGCAACTAGATTTGCAACAGGACCAGAATAATTCCAATGGCAACTGTGATATGGCTTTTTTTTGCAAATGCAAAATTTGCAACGGAATCTGAATAAATCCATTTGCAATTGCGCTATTTATGTATTTTTTGCAAATGGAAAAACTGCAAGTAAATTTGCAAATGTAATGCAAATGCAATATTTTTTTTTTTGCAAATGGAATGCAAATGCATTTTTTTTTTTGCAAACGGCGTGCAAATGCACACTTTTTTTGCAAATGGAAAGTCTGCAAATTTTGTGCACCAACTGGATTTGCAACGGCACAAAAATAATCCCAATTACAACTATGCTATTTATTTATTTTTGCAAATCAAAAATTTGCAACTAGATTTGCAACAGGACCAGAATAATTCCAATGGCAAGTGTGATATGGCTTTTTTTTGCAAATGCAAAATTTGCAACGGAATCTGAATAAATCCATTTGCAATTGCGCTATTTATTTATTTTTTGCAAATGGAAAAACTGCAAGTAAATTTGCAAATGGAATGCAAATACAATATATTTTTTTGCAAATGGAATGCAAATGCAATCTTTTCTTTGCGAATTGAATGCAAATGCAATTTTTTTTTGCAAATGGAATGCAAGTGCAATCTTTTTTTTTGCAAATGGAATGCAAATGCAATCTTTTTTTTTGCAAATGGCATGCAAATGCAATCTTTTTTTGCAAATGGCATGCAAATGCATTTTTTTTGCAAATGGAATGCAAATGCAATCTTTTTTTTGCAAATGGCGTGCAAATACAATCTTTTTTTGCAAATGGAATGCAAATGCAATTTTTTTTGCAAATGGAATGCAAATGCAATCTTTTTTTTGCAAATGGCGTGCAAATACAATCTTTTTTTGCAAATGGAATGCAAATGCAATTTTTTTTGCAAATGGAATGCAAATACAATCTTTTTTTGCAAATGGAATGCAAGTGCAATCTTTTTTTTTGCAAATTGAATGCAAATGCAATCTTTTTTTTTGCAAATGGAATGCAAATACAATCTTTTTTTTCAAATGGAATGCAAATACAATCTTTTTTTGCAAATAGAATGCAAATGCAATCTTTTTTTGCAAATGGCATGCAAATGCAATCTTTTTTTGCAAATGGAATGCAAATACAATCTTTTTTTGCAAATGGTATGCAAATGCATTTTTTTTGCAAATGGAATGCAAATACAATCTTTTTTTGCAAATGGAATGCAAATACAATCTTTTTTTGCAAATGGAATGCAAATGCAATCTTTTTTTTGCAAATGGCGTGCAAATGCAAATAATTTTTTGGCAAATGGAAAACCTGCAACTAAATTTGCAACGAGAATCCAAATTGCAATTCCTTTTTTCGCAAAAATGCAATTTTTCAGGAGAAAAAACCCGATTTTGGGACCCACCTCGGCCGAATCCTCGTCCTTCCCGTAATCGGTGCTGCTAACGATCGGCTCCTTTTCCCGCATCCAGGATTCCGCCTCGTTAGCGTCGGCGAAATATTGCTGGGCCTGCAGGGAATCTTCTAGATCCTGCCGCCTCTGGGACGCTTTCCCTTTAAGGGATTCCCACTTCTGGTGCAAGTCGGAGAGCTTGGCTCTGACGTCATCGGAGGCAAAGTGGCCTGGGGACAGGAAGGGGCGGGACAGGAAGTGGGGGGGAGAGGAAGGGGAGGAGACAGGAAGGGGAGGGGAGAGGAAGGGGAGGGGAGAGGAAGGGGAGGGGACAGGAAGTGAAGGGGAGAGGAAGGGGTGAGACAGGAAGTGAAGGGGAGAGGAAATGAAGTGGAGAGGAAGGGGTGGGGACAGAAAGTGGAGGGGAGAGGAAGGGGAGGGGAGAGGAAGGGGAGGGGAGAGGAAGGGGAGGAGACAGGAAGTGGAGGGGAGAGGAAGGGGAGGGAGAGGAAGGGGAGGAGACAGGAAGTGGAGAGGAAGGGGCGAGACAGGAAGTGGAGGGGAGAGGAAGAGGCAGGGACAGGAAGGGGGAGACAGGAAGTGAAGGGATAGGAAGGGGTGGGGAGAGGAAGGGGAGGAGACAGGAAGTGAAGGGGAGAGGAAGGGGAGGGGAGAGGAAGGGGAGGAGACAGGAAGTGAAGGGCAAAGGAAGGGAATATAATATAATATAATATAATATAATATAATATAATATAATATAATATAATATAATATAATATAATATAATATAATATAATATAATATAATATAATATAATAATGAAAATCAATAAATATTATGGGGGAAATTATGGGGGACAGGAAGGGAAGAGGAAGGGGAGGAGACAGGAAGGGGATAGGAAAGGGTGGGGAGAGGAAGGGGTGGGGACAGAAAGAGGTGGGGACAGGAAGTGAAGGGGAGAGGAAGTGGAGGGGAGAGGAAGTGAAGGTGAGAGGAAGGGGAGGAGACAGGAAGTGGAGGGGAGAGGAAGGGGCGGGACAGGGAGTGAAGGGGAGAGGAAGGGGTGGGGAGAGGAAGGGGAGGAGACAGGAAGTGAAGGGCAAAGGAATATAATATAATATAATATAATATAATATAATATAATATAATATAATATAATATAATATAATATAATATAATATAATATAATATAATATAATATAATATATAGAAAATCAATAAATATTATGGGGAAAATTGGAGGAAATTATGGGGGATGGGAAGTGAGGGGGACAGGAAGTGAAGGGGACAGGAAGGGGCGGGGACAGGAAGTGAAGGGGAGAAGAAGTGAAGTGGAGAGGAAGGGGTGGGGACAGGAAGAGGCGGGGACAGGAAGGGGAGGGGACAGGAAGTGAAGGGGATAGGGAGACAGGAAGGGAAGGGGACAGGAAGGGGCGGAGAGAGGAAGGGGAGGAGACAGGAAGTGAAGAGGAAAGGAATATAATATAATATAATATAATATAATATAATATAATATAATATAATATAATATAATATATTTATAATATAATATAATATAATATAATATAATATAATATAATATAATATAATATAATATAATATAATGAAAATCAATAAATATTATGGGGGGAAATGGGGGGAAATTATGGGGGACGGGAAGTGAAGGGGACAGGAAGGGAAGGGGACAGAAGGGGAGGGGAGAGGAAGGGGAGGAGACAGGAAGGGGACAGGAAGGGAAGGGGAAGGGACAGGAAGGGAAGAGGAAGGGGAGGAGACAGGAAGGGAAGGGGGAGGAGACAGGAAGTGAAGGGGAGGGGAAGGGGAGGAGACAGGAAGGGGACAGGAAGTGAAGGGGAAGGGACAGGAAGGGAAGAGGAAGGGGAGGAGACAGGAAGGGGACAGGAAGTGAAGGGGAAGGGACAGGAAGGGAAGAGGAAGGGAGGAGACAGGAAGGGAAGGGGAGGAGACAGGAAGTGAAGGGGACAGGAAGTGAAGGGGAGGGAAGGGGAGGAGACAGGAAGAGGAAGAAGAAGGGAATATAATATAAAATAAAGAAAAGAAAAGATAATATAATATAATATAATAATGAAAATCAATAAATATTATGGGGGGAAATGGGAAATTATGGGGGACAGGAAGGAGTGGGGACAGGAAGAGGCGGGGACAGGAAGGGGAGGAGACAGGAAGGGGAAAGGGAGGAAGCGGGATGCGCACGGTGCGGTGGGGAAGAGAGAGGAGTTGAAATGGGAATTCGAATCCGGAACAGAGCGCAGCAGTGACCCCTAAGTTGATAGGGAAGGCTAGCACTGACCCCTAAGCCATACCTAGCACTGACCCCTAACCCTGACCCACAACTAGCGTTGACCCCTAACCCAATCGTAGCAGTGACCCCTAACCCAACCCTAGCACTGACCCCTAAACCAATCATACCAGTGACCCCTAACCCTAAACCAAGATTAGCGCTGACCCCTAACCCTAACCCACCCCTAGCACTGACCCCTAACCCAACCCTACCGCTGACCCCTAACCCTAACCCACCCCTAGCACTGACCCCTAACCCAACCCTACCGCTGACCCCTAACCCTAACCCACCCCTAGCACTGACCCCTAACCCAACCCTACCGCTGACCCCTAACCCTAACCCACCCCTAGCACTGACCCCTAACCCAACCCTACCGCTGACCCCTAACCTTAACCCACCCCTAGCACTGACCCCTAACCCAACCCTACCGCTGACCCCTAACCCTAACCCACCCCTAGCACTGACCCCTAACCCAACCCTACCGCTGACCCCTAACCCTAACCCACCCCTAGCACTGACCCCTAACCCAACCCTACCGCTGACCCCTAACCCTAACCCACCCCTAGCACTGACCCCTAACCCAACCCTACTGCTGACCCCTAACCCTAACCCACCCCTAGCACTGACCCCTAACCCAACCCTACCGCTGACCCCTAACCCTAACCCACCCCTAGCACTGACCCCTAACCCAACCCTACCGCTGACCCCTAACCCTAACCCACCCCTAGCACTGACCCTAACCCAACCCTACCGCTGACCCCTAACCTTAACCCACCCCTAGCACTGACCCCTAACCCAACCCTACCGCTGACCCCTAACCTAACCCACCCCTAGCACTGACCCCTAACCCAACCCTACCGCTGACCCCTAACCCTAACCCACCCCTAGCACTGAACCCTAACCCAACCCTACCGCTGACCCCTAACCCTAACCCACCCTAGCACTGAACCCTAACCCAACCCTATCCCTGACCCCTAACCCAACCCTAACCCCAACCCCTAACCCCAACCCCTAACCCCAACCCCTAACCCAACCCTAGCCCTGACCCCTAACCCAACCCTAGCCCTGACCCCTAACCCAACCCTAACCCCAACCCCTAACCCAACCCTAACCCTCGGCAAAAGGGGTCCCCCATTCGGACCCACCTTCTTCCACCATGGTGTTCCCCTTCTGAGTGACGGCCTTGATTCGGGGTTCGTGTCCGGCAATTTCCGCCTGCAAGGCCTGGTGTTTCTTCAAGAGGTTCTGGACCCCAATGAGGTCCTTGCCTGGAAGGGATAATAATAATAATAATAATAATAATAATAATAATAATATAATAATAATAAACAATAAACATAATAAATTATTTCCCGCCCATCTGGCTGGGTTTCAATAATAATAATAATAATAATAATAATAATAATAATAATAATAATAATAATAATAAATTATTTCGCTGCCCATTTGGCTGGCTTTCAATAATAATAATAATAATAATAATAATAATAATAATAATAATAATAATAAATTATTTCCCGCCCACCTGGCTGGGTTTCAATAATAATAATAATAATAATAATAATAATAATAATAATGATAATAATAATATATTTCCCGCCCACCTGGCTGGGTTTCAATAATAATAATAATAATAATAATAATAATAATAATAATAATAATAATAAACAGTGTGGAATAGATCATAAATATTAATAACTAATTACCAATTAATAATAGCAATAGCAATAATAGTACTACTAATACTTATAATAATAATGATAATAATATTAAAGCTATTCATTATTTATTAATATTTATGATCTATTCCACACTGATGATGACGATGATAATTATTATGTGGACATCGTCACCCACTAATCATCATCATCATTTATTTATATTTTATATAATCATCATCATCATTTATTTATATTTTATAATGCAATATAAAATATAAATAAAGAAAATATAAAATATAAAATATAAAATAAATATATAATATAATATAATATAATATAATATAATAATATAATATAATATAATATATATGAAATTAAAAGATAAAAGAAAATATAAAAGATAAAATAATAATATAATATAAAAGATATAATAATATAATATAAAAGATATAATAATATAATAACATAATAAAATATAAAGTAATAATATAAAATATAAAATTAAAATATAAAATAATACAATATAACAACATAATCTAAAATCTAAAATCTAAAGTAATAACATAAAATATAAAATTAAAATATAAAATAATACAATATAACAACATAATCTAAAATCTAAAGTAACAATATAAAATATAAATTAAAATATAAAATAAGACAATATAACAACGTAATATAATCAAAAATCTAAAGTAATCATATAAAATATAAAATTAAAATCAAATTAAAAAATCAAACAAATCAAATTAACAGCAATTAAAGACGACCGATTAATAACCTCGGCGGCGATGAATGAAGGAAGGATTTATTCTTATTCTTATTATTAATTCATCATCATCATCATCATCATCATATCTTTATTGTCATTGCCCCCTTTATTATTAATTGATAATAATAATAATAATAACAATAATAATAATATCTTTATTGTCATTGCCCCTTTATTATTATTAAATAATAATAATATTAATAATAATAATAATAATATCTTTATTGCCATTGCCCCTTTATTATTATTAATTAATAATAATAATAATAATATCTTTATTGTCATTACCCCCTTTATTATTAATTGATAATGATAATGATAATGATAATAATAATATCTTTATTGTCATTGCCCCCTTATTATTAATTGATAATAATAATAATAATAATAATATCTTTATTGTCATTGCCCCTTTATTATTATTATTAATTGATAATAATAATAATAATACCTTTATTGTCATTGCCCCTTTATTATTATTAATTAATTAATTAATAATAATAATAATAATATCTTTATTGTCATTGCCCCCTTTATTATTAATTGATAATAATAATATCTTTATTGTCATTGCCCCGTTATTATTATTAATTGATAATAATAATATCTTTATCGTCATTGCCCCGTTATTATTATTAATTGATAATAATAATAATAATAATAATATCTTTATTGTCATTGCCCCCTTTATTATTATTGATAATAATAATAATGATAATAATGATGATAATAATAATAATAATAATAATAATAATAATAATAATAATAATAATATCATCTTTATTGTCATTGCCCCCTTTGGGGACAACGAAATTACTTGATGACGATTAACGAGTGAACCGACCTCGGTTGGTGGAGGCGGCAATGGGCTCCTTCTCCCGGATCCAGGTCTCCTCGTCTTCCACGTCCCGGAAGAGCTGCTGGAGGCGGAGCGAGTCGGCCAGCTTCTGCTTCCGGGCCGCCATGGGGTCGCGCAGGGCCTCGTACCGCGCCCCCAAGGCCTCCTGCTTCTTCCGGATGTTTCCGGCGTCAAAATGGCCGGCCTCCTGGAACTGGCGGGCCTGGATGGCGATGCCGTCGATCCGGTCCTGGGATGCAAATAATAGTAA